GGCCCTAAAAAAGCCGGATTTTGGCCGGGGCTGAACTTCAGTGCACCCTTAATATATATATATATATATATATATATATATATATATATATATATATATAGGGATTTCGATTTTTCTAACGGTTGATCGTAAATCATTCTCAAGTTTCTTAAGTTCAAAACCAAAATTTTTGTTTATTTTAAACATGATAAAACAAAAACGTTTTTTTTTGATATTCCTATACACATATATATATATATTTATTTAATATATATATATATATATATATATATATATATATATATATATATATATATATAAATGCTATTCTTAATGTGTAATTGTAGTAAATATACTTCATATTCAAATCATTATGAATTTTTATAGGTATTTATGTATCTGTGTATTCAGGCAGCGTGTTTTAGTAATATGAATTATGTTGGGCTTGGTTGGGTGTGCCGGGTTGTTAACAATCTGGGAGATTCGATCAGGTTCGACGAAATATGTATGTGTGTGTGTGTGTGTTTGTGTTTGAGGGTGGGTATATATGCGTGAGTGCATGTGTGTTTGTGTGCGTGCCTGAGTGCTTGCGTGAGAGTGTGTGTGGGTAAGTGTGCGTGTGTGTGTTTGGGTGAGTGTGTGTGTTTATGTGTGTGTGAGTGTGCGTGTGTCTGTGTGTGTGCGTGTGTGCATGTGTATGTGTAGATATGTGTATATATGTATATAAATATTGTATTCTGGGAGCGTTAACCAGGGTACAGCGGGGGTGTATATGGAGGGGCACATATCTATGTTTAAGATGTCCATGCACTCGGCTGTGCCCTGAAACATATGGCCACGTCCTATATGTGTATGGTGTGTGGCCATATTTATTTATGTGTCTATTTATTTGAGTGTGTAAGTGAGCGTATGTTTGGTTTCCAGATCATTTCATTTCATTGATTCTGTTTCTTCTGTTCTGTATAACAGTATTGTGATATGAATTGTAGTATGGTGCGTGTTTCTAAGTGTCAGAATTATGAAATAATACTGACTAAAAATACTTCAAAGTCCTTCAACGCAAAATTAATTCACTCGATAGGCGGCTTGATGCTAAGTAATTCACTCGATAGGGGGCCTGATGCAAGTTAATTTACTCGATAAGGGGCTAGACGATTTTTTATTTGTTTTGCAATTTAGATGACGTCACAAATTAATACAAATTATTTTAAAATTTAATTAGTAGTTTTTTTTAATTAATTGGACATACCTTGGAAATTTTTATGTTTAAAAACACCCGAAACAAAATCTAATTTTGCTTTGATATAGAGTTTCTTTATCTTTAAGTTTCAGTGGAGGAGAGGAGAGTCCGCATTGGGTTGACTAGTTAGGCAGCCTTGAATAATCAGTGCCTATTCTGGTCTCTAAGAGACTTAATTCGTGATTCTATGCTCATTGGCACGGAAACGTCGTGCGAAAGCCGACCAGACTCGACGGCCCAGTGAAAACAGGCCAGGGTTGTGCAAAAGCCGACCGACTGACTGACAAGTCCTTGGTTGTGCGAAAGCCAGCCAGACTCGACGGCCCAGTGAAAACAGGCCAGGGTTGTGCGAAAGCCGACCGACTGACTGACAGGCCCAGTGAAAACAGGCCCTTGGTTGTGCGAAAGCCGACCAGACTCGACGGCCCAGTGAAAACAGGCCAGGGTTGTGCGAAAGCCGACCGACTGACTGACAGGTCCAGTGAAAACAGGCCTTGGATTCTGTGAAAACGAATCCGCCTTGTTGTTTTTGTTTTTCTTGTGCTATTTGTGGACCTAGGGTTCTTTGCTGGATTCTATACTCATTGGTATAGTTTCGCACGCAGCTTACAATTTCCATAGGCTCCGATTTTTGTAATTTTTCTGCATTCATTTTATTTATCTCTCGGAGTTGTATCGACACCACCATCGGTCACACACGTCGAGGTTGTACGATTGAACGGCAAGAAATATATATATATATGTATTGTACATTGCTTAGGATATATATATATATCTATGTGTATATATATATATATATATATGTATATATGTATATGTATGTATATATAGTATATCTATTATATACAATACAATACAATACAATATATTTTATTTGACCTCAAAAAAACATAAAATTAAGATACAGGATGACTGTGAGGAGTCCGCATGTGACTCATCGAGCACAGCCACCTTTACAAGAAATTTCTAATTAATAATATCAATCATGAGACGAGATGAGTTAGTATGTTTGATGTGTCAATGATTACAAGTATGTATGAATAAATGTGAATGAATGTGAAAGAATGTGAAAGAGTATGAATGAGTGAGAATGATGAATACATTAGATGATTATACTGAAGCGTTCAGTAAAATATTT